AATAATTTATTATAATTAGTATTTATTAATAATTAATATTAATTAGGGTTATAATTAAAAAAATTTGATGCACACAAAACTACTTCAATTGGTGTTTCAATAAACTAACTTATGTCTATTCAAACATATACTCAAAAAATAAGTTAGCTTATGGTTGTCAAACAATGCTAAGCCACCAACAAAGAGTCATATATAACTGATCGAATAAACTAAAAGTCCCTTTAAACTACTGACAAACAAACTCTTAGTTTCAAAACTTTAATCCAACCAAACATGTAAAATTATTTCATTTTGTCTGATTATTTTGTACCAATCAAACTAAGGGTGTCAATTTTGTACCAATACAAATCAAACAATTCATGTACCAACGGTACCGATTTAATTGGTACCATATGGTTAGTAGTACAGTACTAACTATGTAACCTTGTTCGTATGTGATATTGGATGTCATATCACTGCATCATAGCCACTTATTTTATAAATTCTTTATTAATTATAATTAATCAATAATATATCATATTTTGATTATAAAATATTAATCATCTTACTTTCTATTTCTAGAATGCTAAAATTATATTTTCTAACATTTGAATTCTAATTTTTAATAGATTAAAGGTTATTTGAGAAAAAACATGTTCTTTTTATTAATTAAAAATTATTTTTGAAATGTCTATTAGCATGTGTTTAATTAATGTTTGTATGTGCATCGATTAATGTTACGATACATATTATCGTGTTATTTGAATGTTTGATTGTTTTACTACATCTACTTAATAAATATATCAATATAAAATGTGTAACTTTAACTTTTGGGATGTTGGTACAAAATCGTACCAACATGTACCACCTAAATTATGTTGATACCAAATAAAATTGGTTGGTACACGATATAAAATTTTGCATACCAATTATAATTGGTTGGTATATGATATAAACGAAAAAACATGATAGTCTACCATGTTTTCCCCTAAATCAAACCATATAAGAGCATCTTCAACAACTATGCTAAAACAAAGAAAAATAAAATTTTAACAATTTTTGCTGCATTGGAGAGAGAAAAATAATATTTAATTATTTCTCACCAATAGAAGACATTAAAAGTAAATGTGTAAGAAAGAAAAATAATATTTTTATTAAATATATTTTACTGATATAATTAATGGTAGAATTACTAAAACCAAATTAGCTATCAAAGTTACATGTAACTTTTTTATAAATTTTTTTTTTCAAAAAATTATAACATAGTTGTTGGAGATGCGGTAGCATCTTTCCTTCTTATCCTTTTAACCGTTAAAATTAATATATTTTATTACATAAATTAAATTTATTAAATAAGAAGGGAAGCTTCTTGCCATATCACATGGTTGACTTTTAGCATCGTGTCGACTAAGTTAACAACATCATCTCGGCCATAAATCTTTGACCCATTCAAACGTCTTTTACACCGTTTATTTTTGTTATAAAATATAATATATTTTTTATAATAACATAAAAATATAAATTATTTTTTATCATATTTAATAATAGCTCGTGATAGTTATCGGTTTAAAAACAACTAATTTACTTATATGTACGATGAATATTATAAATATACAAAAACCGAATTATAAATTTTTAAAACCAAATTGAAATTTTGGAAAATAGAGTAAACTACAATTTTGGTCCTTGTGGTTTGCTAGAAAGAACACTTTTCATCCGTATTTTCAAAATTACAAAATGGTCATCATGGTCACCCTTTTTTTAACGACTGTTAAGATATTATGTTAAATGAGATGTTTTTTCATTATTTTGTCGATTTTTTTGTCTTTTATCTGATCAAAATCGGTACTATTATTTTGGTCACTACCTTTTTTTATTATATAAAAACAAAAATATAATAATACAATGACTAAAATATCCTCGTTTGACGAAAATTTTAATGCCTATTTAAGGAAAAATGAAATCCGAACGTTCTTGCGAACTACAATGATCATCTTGTAATTTTAAAACTTCAAAAATTAAAAAAACGTTATTTTCAACAAACTACAGGGATCAAATTTGTAACTTACTCTAACTTTCAAAAGAAAATTTGAGGTCAATGTTTTCCAACCAACCAAACTCCATTATTTAACTGTGAATAGTGTGGAAGGAACCTTGAATGTAACATGATGTCGTCATCGCTGACGTATTCCGGTTTAAAGTACGTCATAATTACGTCATAGACCCTATACTTTTAATTATTTTTACTTTTAATCCTCCGTCTATGTTTTTTCTTTCAGATCACCACCCTAAATCAAATTTATTTACTTCTCAAGTCTTATTTTAAGATTTAACTTTTCGTATTAAAAACATAAATACTTGTCTAAATATCGAGTCTTAAATCCAAAATATTTAAAATTTTATATATTTAAAGTAATAAAATTACAAAATACCCCCAATCATATGCAATACATGAGGCTTTTACATTGAAGAAGCCTCGAAACAATTAGGGTAAAAAGGTCGATACGCTTCTATTGTAATTTTTTACCAAAAATTATTCACACAACAAACAAATTGGCAATGGAAGTATTAAACAACAAAAGAATCATTCTTATAAATATTCTATTTAACCCCTTTAAGTATTATTATTAAGTGTGATTATCAACCCTCCTTAGAAAAGAACTTCAGAATAGCAACGACTCCAAGAAAAAGTCATCTCGAGGTTCGTCCTTGGCTCCGGAAAACGCTCTTTCCGAATCTTGTTGTTGATCAACGTAATTTGCCCTCAGTGCATTTTCAAATCTCGAAAATTTGAAACTTCCGGGACTCTGCAACATCTCGAGTGTAAATGGTGCTTGATCCTCGGATGACGGAGGACGCCTGGATCCACGAATCGGATCGACCATTGAGTTGTTGGGTTGGTAATGGGAGACTGTCGTCGGCTTAATTGCCATGGTGGTGGGTGGCAAGCGATGACCAGACCCACGAGCCATTGGGACGTCGTGGTTGTGTTTTCCCTCATAGGTTGTTATCACTGATCGCAAGTCTTGAGATGCTCGCTCTACGTGTTTTCTGACCGAACAACCAGGACTTGTGCATTTATAATAACTCCTATAGACAGCAAAAAAAACTTCAAATTAGAAACAGAGATAATCCCTTGTTTACTTTGATAAAACGAAGATGAAGTTGCTTAGGTCTACCTCGGATTAGGATTTCCTTTCACTACTTTTTGACCGTATTTTCTCCATCTATAACCATCATCAAGTATGTCGATATCACTTGTGGTTTGAACCACGACTCTTGGTTCTCTTACAGTCCTAGTTCCTCCAATCATCGATATTCCTTCGTTTTCTGATGCCCTCCTGTAAAAACAGTATAAAAAGTTAATCAGATAATTAATTCCGAGTTAATAATACCATCAATTCTAAATTGTCTTAAAATAAGTGTTCGCTGTCAAAAATAACAAGAACCATTTTCAATTATAAATTGTCTCAAAATAAATTTTATTATTTCTTTTATTATAGAAAACTTAAAATTTAGTTAAATTAAAAAATATGAAGAAAACAAATTACCATCTTTTGGCTTCAGGTTCGTCTTCATCAAGCTCATCCCCACCGGACCTACTCCTCTGACAACTACTCCGGTCAAATTCATCATCTCCGACGGAAAGTGAAGAATTTTCCGGTGTTGCTACAGAATCAAACTGCCCAGATCCATGAGAAGCATAACTCTGATCAGGGTAATCCTGAAACTCATGATTACCGGAAACTTGACCAGTCTGTAAAGTATTGGAAGCCGATGAAGAGGATGATCTTCGAGTAGATTGAGGTTTCGGATGATTATGATTACCCTTGTAAACAATTTCTGTAATCTGACCATCGGAATTCGTCTCCAGTTTCTTCTTCATCGAACAATTTGGATACGTGCACTTGTAATAACTTCTTGGGTTTTCGCTTCCTTTCACCTGTTTTTGCCCATATTTTCTCCAATTATATCCATCTTCTGATTTCTTCTGAGTCGATTGATTGTTGAAATTGTTGGCATAACCTGATTGAAAACTTGAATTTGAATCTGTTTGAATTGTGGAGATTTCAGGAGAGAAGCATTGCATCAGAGGTGGGTGTTCTGATTGGATAAAAGCTTGTTCATCTTCATCTCTGGGTTTCTGATGATCCCATGGTTGTTCCTGAAATTGAATAATCAAAAACACAAGAAATTAGAAACCCAGTTCGAATTAACACCCCTAGATGGTAATTGAACAGATTCTGATTCGAAATTGGCCGACAAGAACAAGAATAAACGAAGAATCAGGAGGAAAGCTTACAGTGGCGTGATTTGAATTTGATTGTGGTTGAAAAGAGAAATCTGAGAAGCTTTTTTGCTCCTTTTTGATGCTCTGTTCTTGATTTTGGATGTTGTTGCTTAGATTCTTCCAATTGAAAGCATGAAATGGGAAAGAACCAGTGGTCGGAGATGGTAAAATCTGCAATAATTGTTCAAAAAAAAAGTAAAATTTATCAAATCTTTCCCTCAGACAAAACAACAAACACCTGGCACGCAAAAATCCATGTTTAGTTCAAAAAGGAAAACAAACTTTTTATCAAATTGTAGCAAATCCCATGTGGGTTTTTTCAACAATAAAAAAATCTTGAGAAGATTTAGGGAAAGATGGAGACTTACGTTTGAAGAAGAAAGAAGAACAGGGGAATCGAGAAGCTCAGCTGGGCTTAGACCTGGTGGTATAGAGAAGTAAGAAGAAGGTGAGACCGCCGGCGGTGAGATGGGTAGTGAAGGTGGAGGAATTGACTTGAATTTGGGTACACCGGAGCCAATTCTTTCGGCGATTCGAGCAGCAAGTCCGCCGGTTCGGGTGGGCGGAGGTTTGTCGGAGTAAGAAGACATGAAAGAGAAAGAATTGGAGGTGTTTGAAGGTGCATCAATGGAGGCAGAAGAAGTCATTTGAGAGAGAGAGAGTATTTAGTCGAAGAGGGTCACAGAGAAGAAAAATTGGAAATGCACACGTCTGGATGGAGTGCAGAAAGGGAACTTGACAAAAGGGTATGCCTCTCTTTATTTATAATTTATAAAATAAAAAAAAAAGAATAAAAACAAGATGCATTTTTTTATATTAAAAAATTGGATTAAACAAATTATATTGAAAATGATAAATCTTTAATTTTGCACATCTGCTTTATTTATTTTATCTATATTATATTATAAAGTATCTGACAAAAACTTTTAAATTTTTTTAATGTATGAAGTACTGTTTATTAATGCATATTACTTAAAATTTAATATTACAAGTAAATTGTACGTAATACAACTTATTAAAATTTCATGTTTGAATTCGTGTACATCAAACGAAACTCACATATACTCAGCTTTTGTGAAATAAAACCCTTGATTTCTAGACACGCTAGGCTATCAGATTATGTAGGGCCAATGTTCAAACATAAACTTCGACTTTTTTACCTTTTAGTAAGAAACTGCTTAATTTTTTTTGTTTTACAGTAAAATTTTGTATCACACCCCCAACATACGTATCACAGCCAGTTTATTATTTATATTTGACAATATCATTACATTCATGTCTTAATAAAAGAAAGAATGCAATGCTTCCTTTGATTCATGTTATATTAGGGTGTGTTTACTAAATACTTACCCGGTAAGTGTGGATCGGGTAACTTTCCTCACCTTATGCACATGGCAATGGCTGAAAATCTTACCCGGTAAAAGTGATAATAGTGATAAAGTCTTATCCGGTAAGTGATGGTGAGGACTCTTATCCGGTAAGTGATGGTGAGGACTCTTATCCGGGTTGTATACAATACCGTTTTAATATACTACAATCTTATATGGTAAAATAGATTATAGTGTTGACTCCTACCTGTAAGTGCTTACCGGGTAAGTATTTGGATAAACCGGCCCCTTAGATATTTTTCCTACCGAATTTAAGTTTTTTTTTTAAAGTTAACCCATAAAACTTATAAATTAGTTTTAAGGCGTATTGTATGAAAATACAACGTATTTTAATATAAGTTGTGATATCTCAAACATTCAGGTACTTAGTTTTAATATAACAATGCATGAAATTGAAATGTATTTTGGTTATGATTGGTATGTCAGGTCATCTCCAATGAGTAACATCAATTCTTTACCTCCATTATTTGATATAAAATTTGGCGTAAACAACAAATCTTATGGATAACATTATTTTATACAGTAAATGCTAAGATTTTGATGTGGGAAATTTTTATCAGGTGGTGGGGTTTCGGCCCCTTCAATGTAGACTCCATCGAGGACATTCTTTCGCTTAATTATATATAAATTACTAACCATGAAATTGATATAAATTAAATTTATATAAATATATAGAGGCGAAAAATCGTGTGAGAAGGAACGTTATGTAAGAAACATAAGAAAATATCTGAACTTTTGATCATTTTTAATCTCATGTCCACCCATGAATTACGCTATAGAAGAGAATTGATCTGGTACATCACGGTGTACCTCGAAAGATGGTGATTTCTTCTTACGTTTCTCACCATAACTCATTTCTCACCAGAACCCAATCCTATCAAATAAAAACTATTACAATTTAACACTTTTAAATTAAAATACATAAATCCTCGGAATTGAAGAACCAAAATCATAATTGTGAAAAATGTTGAAAAAAACAGAGTTACACCAAATTTAATGCAAGTTTCCGTACACATTTGAGTAATTTATTAACAATAAGATTCGATGTTTAATCTAAGAAAATATGACTATTAAAAATCGTACACAAATAAAAATCGAAATAAATTATATTATCTTTTTAAATATTTTATCTGATTTCTATTTTGATATTTAAGTAAAATTATTTACTTTATTGTAATAATATGGAATAAAGTAATTGCAAGTTTAGTAAATAACTTTTTAACTTGTTTAATTTCAAGAATAATAATTTCAATTTTTTTTAAAAAAAATGGGTTTTTATTTACCTTTACAAAAGGCATAAGAATGGTCAAAATACTAAGGTTGACCAGGATTTTAGGCGGCTGAGCGATAAAAATATCGTGACTCACGTGGGGTCGCCTCGCTTAAATTGGGTGGGTCCCACTGGAGCGCGCTTCTTAGATCATGCCGTGGCGCGAGAGCGCGAAACATCCGGCTCCAATCTACCGGCGCCACTTGTCCCTTCGCTTTACCATGCATGCTTCACTATATTTCACCCAATTATTGTTTGGCAGACAAATTATATATATAAGGTTTTTTTAACCTATAAAATTGTAATATATTTTTTGGTACTTGTGTATTATTTGTTATTTTATATGATATATTTTTTATTTAAAATTAAATTTTAGAATATTGATTAATATATATTTGTTTTACAAAGTGTTTGTTAATGTACTTGATTTATAATGTGGATATTTTTTACGTGTTTGTGAAATAAAAAATACACGTAAAAATTTTCACATTGTGAACTGAATCATATAAAATAAACATATTGTGAAACAAATATATGTTAATCAATACATTAAATATTATATTTAGACAAAAAAAAGATCATGTGAACAAACCTTAAGATAAAAGTTTTTACGAATCTCACAAATTTTGGAGTTCTCAAATAATCAAGCGCATATATATATATTCAAAGGCCAAAATATCTAAATTCTATTTTTTATTTAAGGTTTTAATTTTAATTTTTATGAAAAATATTTAGTTTTGTGAAACATGTTTTGATTTTATTGTAAAAAAAATTAATTATAATAAAATGTAACCTGAAAACTTAAATGTCTGAAAATAAAACATTAAATAAAAATCAAATCCAGTACGAAGACAAACCGTGTTTTATGATTGTCGTCATCATCACTATGATTGACCATTCTTACTTCTACACGTCTCGTATCATACACGATTTTGTATTTAAAAGAAAAACTGTTGTAATTATTTATATTTTGATTTTTAAGTATTAAAATAATAATTATACCTGTAAAAGTTCAATTCATATGTGTTTTATCTGTATTTCTAAAGAATTACCACTTATTGTCAAAATCCATTCTAGACGTTTGAAATCATTTGATTCGTTAATTTATCTTTTTTGATTATTAATTGAAATCTTATTACTAGATTATTCATAGGTTATTTGGAAAAGTGGTAAATATTTGAGAAGTAAAGAATTGATCATAGTTCTTCATACGGTCAAGATCTGATTTCACTGGTCAAAAAATACGCGGCTTTGACTGGTTAAAATTTGTGGCTATACGAAAAATAGAGGGGCAGTTCGTAACTTTTACAAATATGTGGCAAACGGGTTCATATGTGAACCCGTGTGATTCACATATGAACTAATTAACACGTGTTCATATTTAAATCAGTTAAATGGTTCACATGTGAACTAATTAACGATTTCACATATGAACATATTGTTCATATCTGAATCAGACGGGTTCACATATGAATCTGTTTTCCGTCTATTTGTAAAAGTTACGAAACTACCCGCATAAACATGCGAGAAATTATCCGATGCTTCACAATCAAAACCATAAATATTGACCAAATGAAGGAATAAATCATTTTTTTACTTTTTAAATACATTATATAATAATATAAAGTAAAAAAAGTTAGGAATAAGATGCGTATAAAATAGAAAGGGAATGGGCCTACAACGGCCCAATAAACAGCTTCCAATTTTGTGTTGACCAAAGCTTGTCGTATAAAAAGGAAACAAAAGCAATTAAAAGTCAAATTTCTTATTAAAAAATAAGTTGATATAAGGTGAAGATGGCCCAAATCAGTCTTGGACCGGGCCGGGCCTAAACTTCTTATTACATGGTCACTTACTCACTTAACTTATCGAATAAATATGATAAGTACCAAGAATCTTATCCGATAAGAGCGATGACAAGGACCGAGAGTCTTACATGATAAATGAGAATGATGAATCTTACCCGATAAGCTTTACCAGATGAATATATTGCATACGATGTCGTTTTAATGGATTAAAATCTTACTGGGTGAGTATAGTGAGACTGTTGACTCTTATCGTAAGCATTTACTGGGTAAGCGTCTGGTAAAAAACCCGTAACTTTTAGATATAGAAAGAAAGAGACCACTACGTGTTCTACTTCACAAATGGGAGATTGGGTCGAATTTCGTTTGTGAGATTAGGGATCGAGATACATTATCACATGACTAAAATTTCGAAAGGTGAAACTCCCGTCATAGTTTGGTGACCTAAGGGGATTTATAACTGATCTTAGGCTCAACAATAGGTCCCAAATTTAGTTATATAAATTTTTATAATTATGATTTTTGAAATTGAGTATTAAAATAAACTTTAAATATTACATTTACTTGAAAAATCCTGAAAAATCGGTTTAGAGCGAACCTTTAATTTGTCTGTATATTCAGATGTATTTGCAAATACCTGTATATACAAACAATTACTTGATGAATCTTTTCAAAATCAATGACGCATTAATTTTTACACGTCAATTCGGAAAGATGGAAAGGAAACAAATTTAGTAAAACCTATAAATTGTGAGACACAGAGGATGTCGTTTTTAAAGGCTATTTTATATACATGTGTCTTTTTAATGATTTTTATGTTATATTTATGATATCTCAACAAAATCAGAATGTAGAAATATGAACGTGGTAACAGTTTGAATGGAATACCAGTTGCTATCAACATCTAACTAAACTTCAACCGTTTAAAACAACATCGAAAATGCCATTTTTGTGGAAGAAGTCATCTTCTGTCGTACTAGTGATGGTGATGGTGATACTTTCTTGATGTGTCGATACTGAATTGCCTTGATGGATTTTTGTATGGTTCTAATTGTAGTGTACATATCTGTATAATTATTTTATGAATAAATTATAAAAATTCAAATTATTTTAATTGCCTTGACTGTTATTTATGTTGGTTTAAGTGTTCCATGTGCTAGTCATATGATAGTATTTGATTTTTGTCATTTTCTTTTTTAATTTGATTATTATTTAAAAAATTAATAATAAAACCATAGAAAAAAAGATATGCAAAAGGAAAAGTAGATGTCTCCATACACCAAACACTTCTTGATTAAATGATAAAGTAAGAAAAACAGTCAAATTTGTTGCAAACCCAACCTCGAATTTGACAAACAAAAAGGCAGTCAAAAAAGATGCAATTTGGATGAATTTATATATTTTTTTAATTTTTTAAAATTATATATATATATATATATATATATATATATATATATATATATATA